CAGAACGCTCTGACAGAGGAGCTGAGGGGGCTCCGGGTTGTTGGAGGTTGATACCGGCACTAGCACATAAAGCTGGGCTCGGCGAGCGGTGGAGCTTGTTGGCGGCACGCTGGTTTGGAAGCGGAGCAAGTCAGTTGAGGTTGGTGGTGTAAGCGTGCTTGACAGTGCTTTGGGCTTACCTGCATAATAGAAGGGCGGGTGTAACGGTCTTTAGACCTCCAATAGAGATGACAAAAATTATTTTTTAGATGTCTCCCGGTGGGTCGTGGTTTTTTCTGACTCCCTTGACTGGTGCGTGTGGCTGTAAAACTGTGTTGGAATAAGCACGGAGCTGTTTTGTAGTCCTGAAAGGAAACTACTTATACTTGGAAAGTATTATAAAGGCATAAATAATACAACCACTTATACCTGGAAGGTATTATAAAGGCATAAATAATTATACAACCATTAATACCTGGAAAATGAGGTCCTATGACTACCGGCAGGCAAGCAGATGAATTTTGCTTCCCCTGGTCTTGGTTTACTTTGATCCCAGAAGTTTAACTAGACGAAGGCAGCTGTTGGTTGCAGTTGTCGTACTAGTGAAATGTGAGTTTACTGCTTGCACTGTAGGATTTCTTCATTAAAAGAAGTATTTCTCTGTATACTGCAATGAATTTGCTTTCGGCATTCTTGACTTTGCACAAGCGTCAGCAGTCAAATACCTCTTACTGTGACTGTTCCCGAATAGGAATACAGCAGTCTACTGATTACACTAAAACCTCTCCAGGTGCCATGTACAGTGCTTCTACTAAATTTAAAGTTTGGGAGGACAAATGCAATATTCTTACCTGTCCTCAATTTGTAGCAGATTGCTTGCTTGGTTACTGTGTTCCAGTTTTATTGCCCTTGGGAATCAAGGATTTGGTTGCTGTTCAGTTTTTCTCCTAACCTTGCTTGGCAGAGGTTAACCAGCAGTGAAGGTGAAGTATTTTTATTCCTAACTTCTGCAGTTAGTGGCAGAGAGTTAGCATTGTCTGCCTTTGGGAGGCTCAGAAGTCTTGCTATAGTTTTATTAAGGCAAAGGATTTAACTGGCTTTTTTTTTTTTTTAAGTGTAGGATGTGTAACGTAACACATTCGACAGTTTAAACTTGTTAATTTTATTTCCCTTGGAAGAGTAAGACCTGGTTTAAACTTGTTTCAGAAGTGCTCTTTAGACTCTGGGTTGAAGGGCCTGTTGTACACGTGTTGTTGCCAGTTTGTACTCAGTATCGGGTTTCACACACAATTTAAGCCGTGTTCATGGCTCTGTTTTGGAAACTCCTTCTAAAGATAGGAATAACAGACTTTAAATGGCTGCTGACAGTACTTCAGGGATTTTTTTTATTGCTCTGTTTGACAAATGTATTGTGAGAGTAGGAACTGCTGATAGTGGAATTAGCATCAAAATGATGCAAGATCAACATTACTGAAAAAGTGGGGCTCTCCTGCTGGAGTCACAAGCCATGTTATTTACCAGAACTCTTTAGTAGATATGAACTTCATCTTGCTTATTCTGCATATCCCTGTTAGTGCTCAGAGGTTGGTAATAAAGGGCTTTTTTGGCTGTCAGGCTGAATTTGGTCATAACCTGCGCTTGCGGCTCAGTGCCCAACAAGTGCATTATTTCTCAGTATTAGTATGATGACACTTTTGCTTCTCTCAAAGGTTCATAACGACATTACTTAGCAATACAATTGCAGTATTGAATGGTATATTAACATCCATATAACCCTCTTTAAGAATGCTGATATCACTTTTGGGGGGCAGGGTGAGCAGACATACTTTAATTCTATAACCCTGTAATTGATTTTGGTGACATGCCAGCTCCTAATGCAGTTCCTGGTTTTATTTACAGCATCGAGATGACTCAGGAGACAAACCAGACCCCAGGGCCCATGCTGTGTAGTACAGGATGTGGATTTTATGGAAATCCTAGGACAAATGGGATGTGTTCTGTTTGCTACAAAGAGCATCTTCAGCGACAGCAGAATAGTGGTAGAATCAGCCCAATGGGTAAGGGGGTGTGTGGTTTGTTGATTTTTTTTTTTTTTTTTTTTTTTTTTTTTTTACTTCTTTTGAAAGAAAACATACAGAAGATGACAAGGAATCCCACAAGAACGTTTTTCAGGAGAACTTCTGAAAGCTGTGTACTAAAACAATGAACATCAAAGAGAATACTACTTAAAATCACAGTAAAGATAAAAATTCATTTCTGTGTAATGTGTTCTGGTCGGCTTGGCATTCAGCCATAACTTGCTTTCTCACTTAGCCTCCTCTGTTAACCAAAATACAGGCATTGTATAAGAATGTGCTGGTACCAGTATAGCCTGTCTTTAAGTAAGAAGTAATATGGTCTAGCAGTAAAGATTGTGTGCAGACAGCTCATAGCTGTATATGAGATTATTTGACTAATGTATATTCTGCAATTTGTTCATAACTGACTTGTCAAATTCTTGTGACATAGGAACAGCCAGTGGTTCAAACAGTCCTACCTCAGACTCTGCATCTGTACAGAGAGCAGACACTAGCTTAAACAACTGTGAAGGTGCTGCTGGCAGCACATCTGAAAAATCAAGGTAAGATGAAGGTATTACTTTAAAGTTTGAAATAGCTATGAGTGTGCGGCAAGTTGAAGGCCTGCAGCAATCCTGCCCTATTGCAGCGAGTTTCTGCAGAGGAAGAAGGGACAGTGTACCTGACAGTGCTTCATGAATTGGTGTAAATGATAACTGGTTAAAATATTTGTTGTTGGACTGCTACATTTAAAGGGATGTTTTTGATTCATCTGAAGAAATGTTTGCTACAGGTTTGCCTGTTTTCTTCTAGGGAAACTAAAGTAGAGTTAAAAATATGTTTTGAAGATAGTAGATGCAGTGGTCAGGAGCATGTATTGGTAGTAATTGAACAGGTAGTTTATTAACTGGTCTGGGTAGTTTAAGCTTTTATTATGAATGCAAAACTAATGTAAATTATGTGTTTCATTGTACTTAAACAGAAATGTGCCTGTTGCCTCTTTGCCTGTAACGCAGCAAATGACAGAAATGAGCATTTCAAGAGAGGAAAAAGTAACACCGAAAACAGAGACTGAGCCAGGTATGTTTGCAGAGGAACACTGGGTACAACTGGTGACTCAGCGTTTGCTTACTTTCTAAGTGGTCTTCTCATGTTGTGGTGATGGTCTTCAGGAACTGTTCAGGTGATTGTTAAGGATGTTTTTTGAGCACTCTCGTCAGAGTCAAGAAAAAGGACTGTTCCATGTTAGTAAAAAAAATTGACACCCTGTGAGGGCGGTTTTGTCTCCCAAGCCTTTGTAAAAGGAAGACACTCTAAAATTGCATTTGGGCAAGGTTCAGTTTTGAAATCAAAATGTTGAGAATTCTGTGTATTTTCTAGCAGTAGAATTCTTGCTGACTCATGGCAGTCAAAATGGCTTGTTGCATTTGGAGAATGGAGTTCTTAATAAATTCCATGCTACAGAAGACTGAGGCTGTGGAGGAAGGGAATACATGGTTTAAAAATACTAACAAAAGCTGTTCAGGGTTCTTGAACTAATTGGGTAATCGGTAGATACAACCAAAGCATTGTTCCATGTATGTAGGGCACTTGCAGCCTTAATTGCTGGGTGTGAATTGTCAATTTAAAAGTTCTGTTCTTGCACTGGAAGTGCTAAGACAACTGTATTTTAATGTTTGAAGGAAGAAAGGCATGATGGACGTAACTGACCTAGGTGGTTGTAATTCTGATGTCTAACTTGCTACATTTTCTTCTAACTTGTGATTTCTTAGTTCAACTTACTTATTTGTTGCAATTTTATAATTGAACAGTGGCTTGTGTTCAGTGCAGTTGTGTGCCTGAACTGCTCATAAGTCAGAGAAATCCAAAGGCTTTTATGTCCAAACTCAAATTTGCAAGTGGGCACTATTTATAAAATACTCGTTATAAGATTTTGATAAGCTTTTACACTTCTTATTAGTAATTGAATTCTAATACCATCTTGACCCAACTCAGGCTAGACCCAAAGCACTCTAGAAATGTGATACAATAGTTGCTTTTTTTGCCATGCTGAGTTGCAGGAATTAAATGCAAAACCTAGCGAACTCCTTTCCTTTCCTTGGGTTACTCTATCAGAGCAATGTATCTACAAAGGTGGTAAAGCATAGTGGAGCCCTTCCTTAAGAAACTTTTTTTTTTTTTTAAGCAGGTATTCAAATGGAAATAGATATGTGCAAGAAAGAGAATTGAGTTTAGATAGTAACTGCTAAAAATAAAGTTTTGAAAATGAGTATTTTAAACAATGGTATTGTTTCAAGCTACAGAATATTTTTAGCATTTTCTTGCACTTTGTATGTCATTACCTTGCTGAATTATGAGCCTCCGGTCAGGAGTCTCTGTTTCCATGCTTAATTAGTATCAGCATGTGTATGGGAGACTTGGTGTGGAGTGGGTTTTTGGGGTGGGGGTTTTTTGGTTGTTTTTTTTAACCCAGTAATAGCTGGTTTAGGGGGTAGTGTGATTAGCTATCATTTTGTGAAGCCACAGCTGCAGAGCAGCACTGCTTATAAAGAAAGTGAACCAGAAATTGAACTGATTACAGTCTTGTGTAAATCACATATTCAAAAAAATACACAAATACTGTTAACTTACTGTATAATTCCATCCATGATGTATCTTACCCTTTCCGTTCCTGAATTAATCAACTTCAGAAAACAGCAGACTTTCTACCAAGCTAATATAATTAGAGTTATTTTACAGCTGTCCTGCATTCAGGTTGAGACCCAGTTATAGGTTCCTCTCGATTATATTGTAGATAGAACCAATGTGTTTTGTCTGTGGTGTGTACAGTCTGTTGCAGGTAATATTGTGAGTAAGGTGCCAAGTAGACAGCTAGTTTATGATATTTGGTAGTCTCAAGGTGGTAACTCCATGGTATTCCTTAGATCTTGTTGTAATGAATGCCTTGTTAATTCTGATTTGTTTTCACACATGGCTATAGTAGTTTAACAATGTTGGTATCTGTAGGCAGTTCCTTTGTGGCTGTTGGTAAAATTGTCTATACAGCAACTCTGTCTTGTATTGAAAATAGTTAGCTCATCTTCATGTTTCCTATGTCTGCTGTACCTTCAGTAGATGCCCCTGATTGAAACAATTCTGAAATCGAACCAGTAGTCTTCTCTAAGCCCCAAAGCTGTTAACCTTGGGAAATAAGACTGGGGACCCAACTGTTGGCTCTGTGTTTGTTGGTGATGGGATGCTATTATTATTTTATTTTAACGGTAGTATACCACAGACACCAAGTCTTCATTGTGACCAAATTAAACTGTATTTCTGTGTGATACTGAAACTGAGGTATCTTTACATTGTATTAACAGAACAGTAAAGATACTCAGTACGTCTGTTAGAGCTGGGCATGTGGGAGATGAATTGCATGCTGCAGAACATTTCTATTCCCTTTCTTTGGCATTAAATTAAACGGGATGGCATTTATCCTGCAGCCTTTCATGATGGGTACCTGGGTTGGCATAGCAATTGTAGTTCCTGAAGAATAAAGTATTTAAGCTCAGAAAGCTTGATTAAAGCCTAGTGAGTACTGTACATCTTTTCAGACTAAAATTTTATATACAAGTCCATTGCATTAATATACAGTATAAGGATTGCATAATCTCTGGTACATCTTTCTGGTCCGGTACTGCAGAACTGCAGTCTAATAGTCTTTCTGATGACTTTTGATTTCACCTTTTTTCTCTTAATCTTAATTTTTCCAGTTCTTCTGTGGTGGCAGTTGGGGGTTAGCTTCACTGAGTCAGAATGCTTAAACCAATTTTCTTTTCATGCTTTCAAGACTTTGCTCCACTGGTATTCTTACCACTTACTAGTACTGTGAAAGTCATACGGTTTGAGCCGTTGTTTAATTTTTGTTTAGTCAGAGAAGCTTCTAAAAACCTGTTGGTGTTACTTTGGTAGCCCTTTTCTGCTTTTGCTATGGGGAGGGTTAAAAAGTAATACTGCTTTATTTTCATTGGGTTTTGTTCAGCTGAAACATTGGATTGATTCCTTTCCAGTGTGAAATCTTGGTGGGAAAATGCCTGCAATAGGCATGCTCTTTTGCCGCAGCTGTACTGGTTTATCTAAGGAAAACTACTGTCAGTTTTGAAACTCCTGTTCTTAGAGTGGTTTTTACTTTTGAGTGGCAATCCCACATAGTCACTGTGGCTTGACACTTTGGGGTCTGAGAAGAGCTTTGTTTTCTCCAGTTTGTAGAACCTTTCTATGTGTAGGTTGACTAGGTATCATGCTGTGGCATGTGGCTAACTTCTCTCATCAGTGGCCTTGCTGTTCCCACATGCCTTTTGTAAAGAGGCATCTTATCTTCAGACTACGTGTGAAGGACATTTTCCCAAATTCACGATGCAATGCCTGTATTTGCGTGGGTGTTTTTCAGGCACCTCTCCAATACTAGGATTATGTTAATCTTTGTTACCCTAGCAGATGGGTGATAGTCTTCCTGTGTGTGATGGTAATGCATCTTACAGTGCCTACAGATAATAATTTAAGACCAGAATAATAAAGGCCTGCCCAGTTCTGAAAATCTGTTGCTCCTAAGTTTTTTCAGCCTTCATAGGAGAACTGGTCTGGCAAAATTCAAGTGAAGTAAACCTGATTAGGTAACCCCTGGTTCCCAAAGGTTGGGAAGGGAAATGGCCAAGGTAATGGAGAGGGGTACGTGCCAACAGGAACTCAGTTAAAGGGATAAAGCCTGTGATGAGGGGTTTGCTTCATCTGAACACTGTTACTGAGGAAGCAGGTCTGCAGGTAGCAGTAAGCACTATTTTCCAAATTTCAGCATTTTTTCAGTTATTCATTCCATGGTGATCATGCAGCAATCGTTTTGAGCACTTTGCCTGATGATTAACACTGTGTGATTTCTGGCATAAAATGAATTTAATATATTGAGGACTGGAATTGTACTTGCCTGGTTGGATTTGGCTTCTGTGCTAGAGGAAGCCTTTTGTGAAATGCAGCTGTCAGGTAGCATCTGATGAAACTATATTGGCTCCTGATGTCATGGTGGGAAAATTACAATTTACAGTATTTTTCATCTGAGGCACAGGTTGATGAAAAAGTTTTTGTTCTGAGCTTTGCATCTGTCCTAGCCATTACTCCAGAAGCGCATTTATGAAAAGTTTATGAAAGTTTAACATGATAAAAACTCATCATCAGACTTAACTGTGCTGGCGTAAAAGAATAGGGAAATCCTTTATTCGTGGAGAGTAATATATGGACCATTTTAATTTGGATTTAGTGGACTATGTCCCGTCTTGTCTTGGGACCTTTTAGTGCCCATTACTGCATGTGCTCCTTTTCCTTCTTGGAACATGTTTTAGTTGTGGGGAATGATCTTGTTCAGCAGCCCTTTCAGGAAATGTGCCTCTACAGTTTCCTAGGATCACTTTCATCACTTTCCAGTTCCTGGGATGCCAGTTGTCACAGCTTCTTCGTGCAAAGGAGGAAGCATATCTGTAGTAGTTGGTAACATTTTCCCTTAGATGGATTTGTTCTCAGTGTCTTTGTTCTGTGGTAGCGTGAACTACTAGGCTATCTCTTTGCCTTGGCAATTCCTAGGAAGTTGCTGTTCCCACTTTTGCTTCCTTGTTGGCATGTTAGACAGTGATAAAGGTTGCTCTTCTCATTTTCTCTTAGTGCATTTGTGAGTGACTTTAATTGCCTAGGTCACTGTTGATTTGCCCCTTCTCCTGCATTTTCTTTTGCATCTGATTGAAACAGCATGCATGGTCCCAGGACTCATATTGCAAGTTGGTTCTGATGCAGATGAAGCTTTCCCCTGGCTAGCTACACAACAAATAGCAAAATCTGTGAGCATTTCTGGTTCCTCTCTCATCTGTGATGACTTATGATTAGCATTTCATTATTAAACAAATAAGCAATGTAACAAATCTAAAGAGTTTGACCATGCTTTTTGGGGAGGTGTTTGGTCTTTTTTTTTTTTTTTTTAAGGCCATAGCCAATGGCTGTTAGCCAAGGTGCATAGTACCCAACAGGTTTGCACTGTTTGTGATATCGCTGTTTTTCAACCTGGCTTTTGGTCAGAGGCTCTCAAATAGGTTAACTGATACCGAGCACTGCTTTCCTTGGGATAAAGGCAAGTTCAGAGGATCATATCTGTTCATCTAAAAAAATGTTAAGACAAAGAAATTGTTTTCTCAAAAAACCAAAAGCAGCAGCAGAAATTACTTCAAAAAATACCAATAGCAGTAGTGATTGTGGTGCTAATGCTGTAATCGTTTTCTTGTCCCTCAGACTTGGCGAAATAGCACTGGCACTGAACTTCGCACATTTTTGTAGAAAAGATATATTAAAGGTGACAGAAAGTAAAGGTAGTAAATGGCCTTAGTTTTTCATTAGTTTTTCATTCATATAATGTATAAGTAAAGTATAAGAAAATATTAGCAACCGTTGTTTTACTGCCTGATTTTTTTGGTGATGAGCACCGAAGGTTCCTTGTAACTTCTGAGAGCTTGTCACTTTTAAATCTTGTTTAGGTTATGAAGTCCTGACTGGGGGCTGTCTCGTTTCTAGGAAAGCCTCACAATTCACTGTAGGTTTAGTAGGAATAATAGTGAGCTTGTTTTTAGAATACCTGTGAACATGGTAATGCAAACACAATTTAAAAAAAAAAAGCATGAAGAGTAAAGATAGAAAAACAGTCAACATAACGGTTTCTTCATGTCCAGAAAAAAATCCACTTTTGACAGGATACAATGCTTACTGACCCAAAAGAGTCTCAGCTAACAAATCCTCTTTGTGTGCATGAAGTTGACTACAAATAAGTCCTTAAAGCTCATATAGTCCATTTATTCTGGACTGTGTTTTATAGTTTGTTCTATTTTAGAACAATAGAGGTCATCATACAGCTGGGAGTGTTTGGGAAAACTGTACCAGGAACAGGTGTTAAAGTTGTGTACAAACACACCTCTCTCTCAGCTTTCCTTTGTTCCAGTTTGGATATAAGGAGGATATTAAAAAAGTTTGATTGAAAAAAAATACTTTTTAAAAAAATGAACAGATCACAGAAGTTCACAAAAGGACAAATTTTTACCCTTCAGAGAACTTAAGCAAAAGGTGACTCAAGTTTGTCTGAAGGTGTTCATGACAGAAGCAATTGAAAAATGACTCATTTTGACTATACCTGCTTGAACATTGAAGCTGAATACAATACAAAAATACAGATAGTTAGTGTAAATCTGCAATTCATTCTTTGAATTACTGAAAGTGTCAAAAACATGAGGGCTCTTTTGAACTGCAGGTGTTTTGTAGATGTGTTCCAGATCTGTCACAGAATCTGTGGCTTGCTGGCTGCTGTCTTGGTGAACTGTTTTAGGTATCTGACTTCAGAAGTGTAGGGGCAGAGTAACCCAGTGTTATGATAGTAACACATTACTGAATTTGATTTGTTTCTAAAATATGTTCCTATTAGTTATATTCTCTACAGGTGTCCCCTCTGTTCAGCAACTTTAGCTGTGACAGTGTTGTTATTGTTTTAGATTAAATGTTACTTGATCATATGAATTATTAAATATTAAATGTGTACCAGGAACTTGGACTTCCCAAGCCCTTATCACCTGTGTACACTTGTATAGGTGTAACGAATAAGTGCCTTATATTTTCCAGCTGATGGGACTGTCGGGAAAATTTGCTTGTCTTGTGTAGAGCCAACAGAGAAGAATAGAATACCTAAAAATCCCTATTACTGTAGACTAGTCTATGCAATACTTTAGACAACAAACATAGGGGTCTTACTAAGGGTAGTTAATCCTTAAGAAATACACTTATGCTACTGAATAGCTAGTGAAGTCAAGAAAAGGAAATCTGACCTTTATTTCCTTTGCTTTAACAGTTGTTACTCAACCAAGCCCATCAGTTTCTCAGCCTAGTACTTCACAGAGTGAAGAGAGAGCTCCTGAACTGCCCAAACCAAAGAAGAACAGATGTTTCATGTGCAGAAAGAAGGTCGGCCTTACAGGTATGAGAATATTATGTCAATTTTGAACAGAGCTTTATGATTAGTTGCCTCTTGCTAGATTAAACTTGATGAAATATCTGTACCATTAAAGTTATTTGCTTCTTCAGGATACAAACAACTTAGCACAGATGTCCATTTTTCTTACTCTGTATGTCAGAGTAGACGAACTTACTTCCTTTGTAGTGACTAAGCCCTTAATTTGCAACTTAATGAAATATGAAGCTTCCTAGTGATGTCGTCTCTTTTTCTATGTACAGGATTTGACTGCCGATGTGGAAACTTATTTTGTGGACTTCACCGTTACTCTGACAAGCATAACTGCCCATACGATTACAAAGCAGAAGCTGCAGCAAAAATCAGGAAAGAGAATCCAGTTGTGGTGGCTGAAAAAATCCAGAGAATATAAATTAACCTGTCTGTGAAAAGACTGACTGACTCTTGTTTTGTTTTTAATATATCCTAGGAAAACAGGAAAGAGCAGGTGCATGGCCATTTTCCTTTGTTCTCCAAAGTTTTACTTTTAGTCTTGTCTGTCTTAATGATATTTCAGAATGTTTGGGTGTTTGTTACAGGCAGAATTGGATAGATACAGCCCTTGAAAATATATATGCCCTCCCCAGAATATAATTGGATGATCAGAAACCTGCACAGGAATACAGATGCACAGAGGACACTCTCTCTCGTTCACATGTGCCAAACAGATGTATGCTATCTGCATGTTTGCAGCAGATCTGCCTTTTGAGGTGTGTTTGAGGTATATAAACTTCAGCTAGTGTTATGTGCCTGTTTTGGAGAAGGATACATCAAAAAGTTGGCAGTCTACTTCCATCATGTAAAATCTCATTCTAATTTTCGTTTCCACACTCCATTGTTTTCCAGCACAATGTAAGCTATGTGGAGGGGTCCACCATCCCAGTAAGATGAGCGTTGGTGCCATATTTAAGAAAGTCACTTATCAATTGTCCTGAGAAAAATGGAAAAAAAAAAAAACCCAGATATGTATGTGAAGAAAACTGTTTTGGAAAAGATTACATTAACTTCAGAATCATGAAAATAGGTTCCCAAAGGAAACCTTATCTGAGCAACCTGATCTAGTTAGTGGTGTCCCTGCTCACTGCAGGGGGGTTGGACTAGATGATCTCTAGGGGTCCCTTCCAACCCAAAACATTCTATGATTACACAAAATGTCCTGCTAGGAACTTACAAACTGGCCTGCAACAGAGTTGTGTGCTTTTCCTTGCATAGCTAAAAATGTTTTGTAGCACAATATTGTAAGATTGGTTTACAAAAAAAAAAGTTACAGAAGTTTTTAGACATACCACAGCAGCTCTATCAAGCAACACGTCTGAGTAAGTTGCTGAAGTACTAGAGCAGTTTGTTATTCATATACTACTTACGTTCTGTGTGTTCTGAGTTCAAAAGAATATTAGGAGTTAATTTTTTCTAGATTTAAATGTAACAGTTGCACCGTTCTGCATGGAAAACCATACCCAACATGGCTGCTGTAGACTTAAGTGGTAGCTGGAACCACTCTTGGAGGGCTGCTTTATCATTTTTAATTGTACTTGGGTGTAGGACTGTAGTGTTCTTGGGTGTATTGCATGGGCTGCATTATCTACAGCATTGTACAATAACAACTCTAGAAAAGGCAGTATACTTCACTGATGCTTGTCTGGTAATATCACTTCTGTGTTATAATGGAAGGGTTTTTTTGTGATGTATGAAACTTGTGTTTTTTATATAAACAAGTACAGTTTAGACTAGTGTTGTGGTAATGCCTGTTCTCATCTGTAAATAGTTATGTATGTACACAAGGCACTACTCCTGAACTTCTGATTTTTATTGCAGTGTTCAGTCTTAGTTTTTACTCCACTATTAAAAGCGTCAGGTTTTTGCTTCTAACTTTGTTCTTCTGAGTTATTAGATATGCAAACATGTACAGATAGTTCATATTTATGTATTGCACATAATCATGCTACCCAGCATCTATGCTATATTGTATTATGTAAATAATAAAAATCATGTACAGAAGGAAATACTTCCTTTTGTGATAGTTCATTGGTTTTAGCTGACCTTGTAGATGTCAAGGTGCAAAGTTAGTACTAAGTTCTTGTAGATGTCGTCTTTATGCTTAAGCATGCCTCTGTCCTTATGTCTTATTTGGATATACGAACTTCTTTAAGGTAACTTGCGTCAGCAGCTGGAATGCAGATAAGTACTTGATGGCCTGACCAAAATGCCAGCAAACAAGAATGTGCTTAAAGGGAACAAAGGAAAGCTTTTGCAATGAACTTCAAAGGGTTTTTTTTTTTCTTTTGTCTACAAAACTTATTTCCAATGGATCTGTTATAATAGAGCCAGTACACTGACTGCGCCACTCTGCCGCTTCACCGGCAGACCTGGGCAGAGTTATTGTCAGGATCAGCATCCAAATACAGGTGCTAAATATGTCAAATTTAACCTTTCCAGCGAGAAGGAGAAGGACGGAGCACACAGCGCGTGTTGCCTTGGAGGAAGACATCTTCACTGCTGGACAATGGATGAAATTTGCTTATATCAGAAGTGGATAATGTGAATCCCACCTGTCAGCTGATACTCACGTCATAAGTTACTACTACAGCCACTGTATATGCCTTCAGTAAGGGAACACAGGCATGCTCTGGGACTCCATTTTCCAGGATTAATCTTACGACTTAATCATGGAAATCCTTTAAAGTACCAAAATTACAATTTTTCTACCTTTTGTCTTAAAGCAGAATTCAGCTACTCCTCTGCAGCATAAAATGCTTTTTTTTTCTTTTTTTTTTTTTTTTTTTTTTGAACCTGAGAATACCCTGTAACTGCATATTTGGGGAGAATGTGTGTGGTTTCGATACTGCCATGGCTAGAGTGTTTTAGGACAGGTAGTAATGCTGTTACTGGTAGTTAGTGATTATGATGATCTCGGTGTCACTGCTTTTTCATCTGAACAAAGGGTGTATTTGGGAAGACCTGTTGAAATAATTGATCTTGGTAGATCTGTCTTTTGAACCTGAGAATACCCTGTAACTGCATATTTGGGGAGAATGTGTGTGGTTTCGATACTGCCATGGCTAGAGTGTTTTAGGACAGGTAGTAATGCTGTTACTGGTAGTTAGTGATTATGATGATCTCGGTGTCACTGCTTTTTCATCTGAACAAAGGGTGTATTTGGGAAGACCTGTTGAAATAATTGATCTTGGTAGATCTGTGGAGGAAAGTATGGAATGAAAAATCCCTCATTGTCCTGTAAAATCATGAGCAGTATCACATGTAAATTGCCCACAAGTTGGGGTATGAGTCTGTACTCAAAAGGTCTGCAAGCTCCCTTGAGCTTTGTTCTTTTAGTAATTGATATAATATTGTCAACAATCATACAGGAGCTGTAATTCTGTTGAGGGTCACTAAACACTCAAAGGAGGTGGAGGTTGTTTAAAAAGAGCAGGTACGGACAAAGTGTGTGTTTGGGGGGAGTATTTAAACTTAGGTGCAAACACTCAGGTGCATATTGCTTGGCAAAGAGTAAGAAAGTAGGTGCTGAGTCTTTCAGATCCCGCTGCCCAGCTGGGAGACTGGTGTGTATATTCCTAAATTAAATGGCTAACTCCCACAGTGCTGCTAGTAGCAGTCCGTTTTAATACAGTGGTATTGAAATGCTTTGAGAAAAAGAGCCTCTCTTCTACGCTGTCTAAACACAAGCCATTCATAAAGCTGCTGTCATTTGCTCTTTTGGTTTAAAGTGACAAACAGCTACGAATAGTATACCCGTCTTCCAAGAAAGAAACGTGATCGCATCACATGACACTGATCCTCATGTAACGTTTGGCTGCTAGACTGAGGTGTTCTTAACTTACACGTAAACACACTGTTCTGGGAAGAGTCTTCCTCTTGGCCTGAACAAGTTTACCAGATGACCAGGACTTTTTTTAGTTAGGGAACAAAAAGGAACATACAAACAAATGAGTAAATGAAAGCAGTTAGGTGACGGACAAGTGTTTGGTGATCTTCAGTCTGTGAAATGCTTCCTTAGCTCGTGTTATGGCTGTGGCAATATTATGTTCCACAGGATTCTGTGCAAACTTAACTGGACAGCTGTGGCTGTTAAACCTGAAATTGGGGTATATTGATGAGTTTCCTGTGGTGTTTCCAACCTTTTGCTGTAAGGCTGGTGAGCTGCCAGATGACATGGTAGGTTGTGGTGCACAAGGATGGCGTGGGGTTGAGAAGCACTGACTGTGCTCCTGGTACTGCAGCCTTTGAAAATGTGCTTCTGATAATCACTTACCCTGCCGCGTGGTTTGGAAGGACACTACTCACAAGTGTGGGGGCACTTGCTTGTATTTGTCACGTGTCTCTGTCTCAGTCAGGCAAAGGATACTTGGATTTGACTCCTGTCTGGTGTCTACAATGAGTCAAAACACATGCCAGTGGCTCCGCATTCCTAAAGCAGCTCTACAGTGTTGCCTGGTGCGTGTGCCTGAAGGAGGAAATGCGCAGCAGTATCAGGAAACTGGTTTGTTTCAGGTATCCAGGTGTGTCATGCAGCAATGATTCAGTAAGAAAAGGAACTTTGCTCTCCTGTATAGATGTGTGATTTTTTATGTTTGTTTTATTAGCTTCTCAGCTAGCCAAACAATGAAAATGTATTTTCTCACAAATGACCTATTAGTGACTCCCTTGATCTTTTTTTTTTTTTCTAATTAAACACCCGGGAAATGTGATGGACTGTGCTCTGAATCAGGAGATACAGAGGGCTCTGGCTGTACACTTGGAAGTACCTAGGTGCCATTGGAATTGATAAGTGACAAACCCAAACAGTTAACTGAGGGGAACAGTTAGAAAACCTGAGCTGGAAAAATAATGAGAGTCGCTACCTGTGGAAATGTTAAAACATAGTCCAGGAGCAAAATTCTCTCTGAGTGCAGTGAGGATGAGCCACCACCACAGTGAGGTCAGTATCTGACAGAAGAGAGTTTTAAATGTTATTTCACAGCCCTGAGTTTTCCCTTAATCTACTGTGAACACTTGAGCGGAATGTGCTTTATCCTTTAAATTGCGCGTTGTAGAAGTAGTTTAGTGATGGCCAAAGAAGAAGCAGGGTTGGGGGGTCACTTTTTTTTTTTTTTAATGCTAGACTGAAAAAAATAGACCATTTCTGCTTGAAAGGGCACATCTGCACAAGGAAACGACCAAGGACCAGATTTCTGACTTGTATAAAGAACCGAATTCAGCGGAAGAAACAAGTCTTGGCGTGTGGGATGCAAAATAGCAGAGTATCGGCAGCCTGTGATTTAAATGAAATGAAAATAGAGCTGTAAAACTGTTAAAGATGGCAATACTGAAATAAATGTAAGAGTCAACACCTACAATGGCAACCCAAAACACTGTGGCTTGACTGCTTATTTGTATAGATACAAATCTGTACCACTACAAAAAAGAAAAAAAAAAAATGTTGCTTATTGAAATTACTGAAGTCACACCTTCCTGAAGAAGCTGAGTCTCACTCTTGCCTTTTGTCCTAGCTGGTAAGATGCAGACGGCAGATTTTTTTATAATGCCAATTTCATTTCAGTGTGTGTTTCTTTCCTGTAAGGTCGTGGCCAGTACTGTAGCAATGTTAGAAGCTGGGTTTCTCATGTGAATGTTACTTTGGCTCAAGCCCCGTAAGAAAGATACCTGTATCTTTACTAAACCTCCCTGTAATCCTAGCTTTTTTTTTCATGTATCTACAACCAGCTCACAGCATTTATTCCCAGGTAGCAATAAGCATGGTTTTCACAAACTGAGGTTTATTTATTATGGAGATAAAAAATAAATACGGTAATTATATCTACCCTTGCACCTGAGTACAAGCATGCAGGTAGACTACATTGTGTCATTAGCCCTGCCCAAGGCCGGCCTCACCCTCTTCAGGCGTTTCACAGTGAGGTTACCCATGGCCTGTGCCAAGCAAAGGCATTTCCAAGGCCCCCCTTTTCTTTCCTAGTTCCCACCGGGATGCCTCTAATGATAAATGACTACCATTGCAGCATGATGCTATTTTTAATCCATACACAGGTGACAACATTTCTCAATTACGGTACTTGGACTGTGGAGCAAGTCCTTACTTTGTTTTGCTTGCTTTTTACATTGTTTTGCAGGTGTTATTTTTTGAAGATATGTATAGGGTGTTGTGTGCGTATCGAGATATTATAAAGTGCCTTCATCTCCTTCATTTTTCTTCCAGTTAACATTCTCAAAGGATTCAACTGAGCACAAGCCCGATGCTTGCAATGTCATATACTGTAGTTGTAAAGTGACCATCTCTGTATAAAGCCAGCCCGAATATCAGCACAATATGACCTTCCCTAACGATAGATCAGGGCCATCTTTCACTAAATGAGCCACCAAGGCCGAGTTGCTCATGAAAAAATGTTGAGATCCAAGGAAAGAGTCAGAGCCGCTGACTGCATTAACAGCCAAATGGACTGACCTGATCGGACTCAAGACACCTTAGCTGCCCGCCACTTCACTTCCTAAGCCACTTTAAAATGCAGCTGTGTGTGAATTGTTTTTACTCTCCTCCACAGCCACAGCCAGGCAGCCTCACCATGTTTTGGCTTGCTGTTAGGGAAAAATGAACAGTTTTTAAATGCTTTGCTTGGGGGTTTTGTTAGGTTTTTGAGGTTGTTTGGATAGGGCTGTGAGCACTGCTGATGGTAAGTCACTTTTTAACCTGCTCTTCCTGGTTCGTGTGTTTCCAGCTTCTTCTAGCTCCTTCTGATGGTACGATAATGAAATCAAAATAAATGGAGGCAATATGACCTAAAAGATAAACTGAAGCCATACTTCAGTACGGTGTCCTGCTCACAGCAGAACTTTTCTTTCAGCTTCATTTTCCCACTGCCACTATAGGTATTTCAGTCCCTTTATCCAGTGTCTGAAAGGTGTCATTAAATATTAGCCAGGCAGATTTAGAGATGTGGTTTTGGACTTCTCTTTATTGGTTGATTTTATTTTCAGATTTCATTGGCAGTGGTCTTTACATGTAGTTAATGTGTTTTGTTTTCTGAAGCATTTTGGTGGTGATATTAATGGCTGCTTGGTGTACTCTTCTGCGAGAGAGGTATTAGAAGGACAAGGTGTTTGCCGAGCTACTGCATGGCAAACATGTAGGTGGAGAAATGCTCCCTACAGCTCAGGCCTCTCATCTTCTGAGACCTGCAGTGCCCCTCTCTAACATTTTTGCCTGATTGGTGATTTTGCAATATAGCGAGACAGGATGAAGTCCCACTGTGAATCTTTACTTGTCATACAACAAGATTGTAGCACAGAACTGAGGAAAAGAAAAGCAATTTAGTTCACTATTCCTCATTCCTGTTAGTCTACTCTTTACCATAGTGTACCTTATTTGTATTGTTTAAAACCCACCCAACTTGCCTCATTTACTGATGGGGATTTTCCTTGAGCAGACAGCATTTTTACTGTAGATTTGATTGAAGTTTACTTTAGTAGGTCAGTGAGAAGTTGGGCACATGATGAATATGCCCTGAGTTCCCAGGGGAGCCTGTGAAATGGTTTGTGCACAGGACAATTTGACTTTGATAATGCTCCTGGGAGACCAGGTCAGACTAGGTTTAAACAGGATTAGGCTAAAGTAGATTTTCCTTAGTTGTATTTTAAGTAGCATGGGATTTATGAGGGGAAAGCAGGTTTATGACCCTAGAAAAATCTTGATCCTTTCAGTCTGGTTACAGTCTTCAGAGTGAGACTGAGCTGGTTCCTTTGATTGCTATACTGAGCTCATCTGATGGATAAAATCCATACGGATTTGTGTATTTCTACTAGAATCTCACCTTCTGACTGACCTTGTAGGACCAAAGACTTGGATGTTTTGCTGCCCGTTCAGTCACCAAAAGAGCTCTCGGAAAGTTCACCAAGTACCGGATTTAGTGCAAGCAGGAGGCAGGGACAGGCAGGAGAGGTGAGACCACCACACACGGAT